GTCTATCAGGTCCAAATAAGCACCTTTCAGACGTCATGAGGGGACTAGCTGGTCAGCTGTGAGAAACATGTTGTCCAGCTGCCTTCAGCTGTGGACTTCAGGTCCATTTCAAACTCAAACTGGACTGGCTCCAAGTCTCTGAGTACTAAACAAGATGTTAGAATTAGGGTCCTGCTCTACTTAGATAGATTTCAGCAAAAGACCATCGAGGGAAGTGACACAAATCCTCACTGTTTCCATCTAGAGAACACACCCAACCCCAAGGGGCAATCCTTCCTCCAGACGCCCTATGGGGCAGAACCAGGTCTCAGCATCCCCCATCCAATCCTGTCCTTTTTTCTCTCTAATAATGCAAACACTTAGCATATTATAGTGTTTCTGTGGCAACCCAAGAATTCAAAACAGCCTGTCTCTTTAATTTTACTGCACTGTCTATTATTTTTCAGTACAATTTTAAAAATTGTTTTTCTGAGACAGGGTGTTACTCTGCTATAGCCTAGAGCTCAGTATATAGTCTGGGCTGGCTTCAAAATTTCCAATCCCCCTGCCTTGGCCTCTCTAATGCAAGAATTACAGGCACGTGTCACTTTCCTTAGCTCTCTGAGCCATTTTGATTACTGATTTCTGTTTTCTGAATGTAGTAAATGAGAAGGGATATTAACTTTAAAATACCTTTTTAACGGGAGAGCCCACTTTTTGTTCTCAGTGGGTTGCCAAACAATACTGTCTTAAAAATTCTGCCCCACCAGTTCCCGAAAAGCACCTTTTCCTGCAGTCTGGTGCTTCATGGGTCATCAGATTCTTTTCCAGTCATGATCACTATCCTACATAACCTTGTCTGTTTCCTGGAGGAGTGAGGAAGGGTCAAATGAGAGGCAGAGCAAGCCGGTCTTAGAGTGTGCCATGAACTCGGTTTAGTGCGGTGTGTCAGCACTACAGCACTAAACAGCACTGCATGCAATTTCAGCATAGTCCATGTTCTGGAAGATTCCTGCTGAGGCTTAGCCTTCTGAAGAAGATCTCCCAATCAATATGACCCTCACTTCATGTTCAAAAAATACCAAAGAGGAGAAGAAAAGGCAGCTGTCTGTTAGGTGATATACAGGATTTATCTGGTATCTTCAAAAACCAATCGAGAAAATTTTCCACTCACTGATTTTAGGTGAGCCACCAAGAAAACAAGAAAATCCTTCTGCAAAATTTTCAATCAGATGATATTATCTAAAGACCTGAAGCGTGAAACCTGGATTACAATAGCTGACCAACCAGAATGTAACACCTACAAAAACTACAAATAAACAAATAAAAAGTATAACACAGACAATTTGTTTTTAAAAAGTAGGTATTTTCTGGAATTTGACAGTGTATTAATAATTTGCTAAAACAAAGATAATTCCAACTGAACTATTAGAAACGAAAATATCCCATCAATAGGCACAAACATTACTTATTAATTTTTTTAAAGCACCATGGGGGCTGGACACATGGCTCAGCAGGTACAATGTTGTCTGGAATGTATGAACCCTCCAATCTCCAATACAGGGATGAGGGGAAGGGCTCCACACTTTAACAGTAAAGTCACTGAGATCTAATTATTTTCCTAATATTATAATGAATAGGTTTTTCATATATTTGTTATATCTTTACTTTTGAGAAATTTTTTGCTACAGAATAAAATTTTTAAAGAACATAGAAATTCAATGTTTTACAGGTCTGCAACTGAGCTTTTTTTAACTATATGTAAATTTTGATACATTAATGACTTGATCAGAAACAATTCCAAGTGATTTGTGAAGATCTGTGACCACTGTATTGCTAAAGGCAAAAGGCAAGCCATTCTGGACACTGAAAATTACTGTGGCACATAGCAAACAAGGCCATAATTTACTCCCTGCTCCTACAGTCACCACCTACAATAGGACCTAGTTGTCCACACATGGAGAATTTATTCACCTAAGTGGACCAGTGTCACCTCTTATGTTACCTGGTCAATGGAACAGCAGCAACTGTGGCATAATCAGAGACACAAAAGTGTCCGCTCTGGGACTTGTCCTGTCAGTGTCACAAGTCCACATCACTCAGTTAAAAGCACAACATGGAAGGAGAAGGCTACCATCCTGCCACCCAATCTTACCTCAGTCAGTCTACTAGCTGACCACAGACACGGGCAGACCAGATTCAAATCTCAAATGAAAAGACTAGCCAGGTGAGTCAAGTCAAAACTCTCATCCGATGGAATAAAAAGCTAAGGCAGAGTACGTGATGGCTGCTTTGTTTCACACCAGCAAGTGTGGGTCAGCACTTGAGCAATCTCTGATACACTCAGCTACAGATTTTGCTGTTTACAGACTGGTCCTATCTAACTAGCTGAATATTCATGAGTGTCACTGTGAAGAAACATACTATCTGTCAGCACTCCCTTCCTAACCCCTCCCCCACAACTCAGCCCTGTTTTCAGATTCTTCTAACTGTGTAATAACAACCCAAAGGACACACCATAAAGGACATTCTACAGTCCGTATCAAGCTTAAAGATTAGCTCCTGAGAGTATGCTTTATATTTACTAGTCTTGCAAACAAAATGATTCTAGAACTCCTTAAGGCCTGTGTAATAGAAGCTAGAAGTTATTATCTGGATGTTTTTAACCCAGCAACTTACTAGGATAAAACCTTCAGTTATCCAAAAATTCCACCTTTGCAGAAATGCTATTTCCTACAGAAATGATTGTTTAAACAGGTAAATATTATACTTCCAAAACTGTAGTGAAAAAAATATTAACCAAAGACTCAAGCAGGTTATGTTGTACTTCCATGCTGTGCCTTGGTTGTCTTCCAGCACAATAAGAAAACAATGCAATCTGGCTAGTAACATGCATAAGAGGCAAAGCTTTTCAAGCAATGATCGAGATGCACTGCACAAGTATTTTGTTGGTCTTGGCCCTCAGTTCCTAGAAGCAGGCCTCTAAATCCCTGAAATTTCCTTAGTGATAGAAGTGGCTTCAATATTCATGTTAATGGATGATGTAGTGTAGACTCTTAAATATTGTGGCAGGGGATGGGTGGGTTATGCTGAAGAGATGGGCTGTGAGAAGTCTTGGGCTTTTTGTAATACCACAGGAGAGCAGACCAACTTTCTGACTTCCAAGGGAAGGACCAGAAGTGCTGTGATTAGGAAGAACTCGCTGCACAAACATACCTATGAAGTGACACCCCACTCAAAACCTGCAAGCCCAGGGTTCCAGTGGGCCCCCATCTTGGCAGTACACACAATATAGCAGGAAGGCAGCAAGTACTGAGGACCTGGAGGTTCTGCATTTGAGACTCAAACTCCCTCCGTGCAATCTACCCAGCAGTTCTTAATTTCTAATTTATAACAAAACTGTAACCATTAGTATAATTCTTTGCTGAGTCCTTCCAACGAATTTTCAAACCGGAGGAAGCAGTTGGGATTTGTAGCTGGCTGGTCAGAAGTATGGAGGCACAGATGGCGGCTGGTGTTTGAGGTGAGGGGAATGCTGGGAAGAACTCTATCTCTGAAATTGGCCTCTTGTCACTTGTGTCACAATTAAACTACACATAATAAAAAATTTGAAAAGACAGTCAACAGATAGCAGTAGGAGGGTTACAGTAATCACAGCTGCAGTCACTCAGGAGCTCAAAGAAAAAAAGCAGTGAAGTCACAGCGGGACAGCAGGGACAGCAGAGCCAGGGAAGGTTAGAGTGGGCTGCAGGACCAGGTGCTGAATAAGCTGGGGAGTCGTCCACTCATTCAACAGCTATATTAATAATAATAATAATAAATAAGAGCAAAGTCCTCACTCTCATGGCACTTCCAAATCAGGTTCAGAAAGGACACCATCAGTGATGCAACTGCAGCTAAACAGGCTTAGTGATAAGCTAAGTACTCGGCCCTCAGACCTGAACACCTTTGTCTCCACTTGCAAACACGGCAGACAACAACATGCAGGCTACTCAGGAATCAGAGAATGGTGTATAGTTTTAAAGAGGTTCATCAATGACAGAAAGTCAAGTTAAAACCTTACTTTACCTTCCACTAAACCAGCATATGTAGCAGGCTTTCTTTTGGGCCACCAATCCACTCCAAAATCATGACACAACACTATTTAGTGATGAATGATTGGCCTTACCTTATGCTTTAGCTCTTATAACTTAATTTAACCTTCATCTACATTTTGCCTTGGGGCTTTTTACCTTTCTTCACTCTGTATGTCCTACTCTGTGTCTGTCTGTCTGGCAACTGCCTGGCTGGCTGCCCCTGTTGTCTCCCTTTTTCTCCCTCCTCTCTTCTCTCCTCTCCATCAAACCTAGATTTCTTCTCCTGTTTATTCTCTCTGCTTACCAGCCCCACCTATCCCTTTACTGACTATTAGCTATTAGCCATTCTGCTTTTTATTAGGCCCATCAGGTGTCTTAGGCAGGCAAGGCAAAACAAAATTAAACAAATGCAGCATGAACAAAAGCAATACATCTTTACATAGTTAAAGTAATATTCCACCACATAAATGAATGTAACACATCTTTGCCTAGATAAAGTAATATTCCAAAACAAGCATATTCTAGCAGATACCTAATGTTTAAATACCATATTTGTTCCTCAGATTTGACAGCCAGAAAATCAAATTCTTAAAGTCATTTGCTGCTTCTAAACTAGTAAGAATATTTCTAAAACCTCCTGACAATGTTTTCCCAAAACACCAAATAAAAAAGCAAATAAATGTAATCCACAAGTCTGCAGACATGACAAGGTGACACGGGCTTTAAACATATTTTCAACAGAGTTCAAAGTCCATTTCAACTTTTTACCAAATGTTACTACTTTCAGTTGTTTGTGTTCCTTCAGGTGTCATTGGAATCTTGATATTTTGTTTTTTACAAAAGATAAATTAATGTTGAAGTTGTTTTCAACAGAAATACTCTAACACATCTTTCTAATCAGTAGCCACTCGCGCGCGCGCGCGCGCACAGGGGTAAGTCTCTTACCTGTTATCATCCAGCTGCACCAGGAACCGGACAATATCTCGATGGGCTTTCAGGACCAGCAGCTCAGTGTAGGGGTTTTGACTTTGGTCTTCTCCTATTGTCTGCAAAGCAGCTTTCTTTTAACAAAAAAAAAAAAAAAAAAAGCAAAAACAGAAAGACAAAATGACTTTCAACTGCACAGTATTCATGCAAGAACAGAAGATTTTAAAAGCCACAAGGTATTACATGTAATAGTAATACATATGTTCCTATAATATCAGGTGGATCATTTGTGTTCTACATGGAATTATTGCTCTTACCAAAAACTTCATTATTTTCAAGCCACAGTAAACTTGCAAACAGTAAATTTTATTTTGTTGAGTCTCAATAAGCCTGACTTTAAAACTATTGGATCAATCCCGCTCAATTTTTTTAGGAGTGTTTCTCAATCAAAATTTGTTGGAGACCAAGGTGAGAGTTGAGCAGGTAAAGGCACTTGGCAATAAGCCTAAGACCTGAGATCATCACAGACCCTCGTGATGGAAGGAAAGAATGAACTCCTACAAGTTGTCCTCAGTCCTACACACACACACACACACACACACACAGAGAGAGAGAGAGAGAGAGAGAGAGAGAGAGAGAGAGAGAGAGAGAGAGAGGGAGGGAGGGAGGGAGGGAGAGAGAGAGCGGTGTGCTTGCACACACACACACACACACACACACTCACACATACATGCATACAGACACACACAAATACACAGACCCCCCCACACATGCACATACACACACTTTGTTAGACACAAAGTTACAAACCGAATGCATCAAATATGGACTACAGCAGCCTCCTCAAGCACTCAGGAGATGTCTGCTCAATGAACAAGGATAGTAATGAAATAATTCAGACTCCCGAATTCAACTCTGGGCAACCATATTGATAAAGGTAGTTCCAACATGCAGAATATTATCTGGAAGGCCAATAGCAGACACTGCCCTAAGGACACACACCTTGTAACTTAACTCTACAGGGTAAGTGTTATTGGCCCCATTTCTGGGGTCAAACCCCATATAATTTCACCATAAAAAACTTTGTTCTTAAGCAAGCTTTCTTAAATTTAACACAAGTGACATTTTGGACTAGATTAAGTCTTTGTCACTGAGGCCTCTCCTAGGTGTTAGGGATACTTACCAGCATGCCTGTTTTTCACACACTGCCCCCATCACACCAAACCATGGCCAACAATAGACACTGTACTATCCTCAGGAGACAAGATTACCTCAGGACTAAGAATCAGACTGGAAGGCTGAAGGCAATGTTCTTGCATACATTAGGGAAAATCAGGGGTGCATATTCAGGCAGTTGCACAACCACAGTACTTTTACATGAAAAAAAATGTAAGAACCAGCATACATCAATGCTTTTTGAAAAAGTCCACCCATGGTGATGGCTTTGCATTTATCCTGTCTCCCTCCAGCAGATGCTTAATTATGGAAACTGCTTCCTACAAGTGAGAGTTTGCCAGGCATGACAGAACTGGTTAATAAAAATACTATACTAACCAAACAAGCAGGTTAATTCAAATTGTCATATGTATGTTATATGGTTATTCAATAATCCACAATTCTTCCATAACCTGAAGGATTTTAGAATCATATGAAATAAGTGGTTTGGTTTGGTTTGGTTTGGTTATAAATCACAGTGTCAATGGCAAAGCTGAGGGAGTTAAAACTGCCAAGTTGTTCACAATAATCCTAATTGTAAAAATGCTTCCTATGAGAAAGAAAATGCAACACAAATTGTTTCAGGTGGCACATGACACAAATTTCAGATGAGGAGGCAAAATCATTTTACTATTTCAAGTATAAGTGGCAATGAGACCATACACATACTAAATAAACAGAAATCATTTTCTTGACTTGGTTTCTCAAAAAGCAACTAGTGAATTTCACATTCCTTAAGCAAATGCCAGTCGATGTCTCCAAGAGGTATCAGTTCAAATACATCAAGAGAGTCAGTCACCCCTGCCGGTTTGAAGTTAAATCCCACTTCTCTAAACTGAGGGTGGCCCTAAGCAGCCCTACATTCCCCC